GCGAAGTATACATTCATGTTTGAGTGGGATTTTCGTTCATTTTTAGGCTGGCACCACTTACGCGTTAGTAAGCATTTGAAAGGGCATATAATTTTGTACAACATATGAAATTTTAAGAAAATCCTATAGAATAGCGCGCAAGATTTTTACAATTAAACAGACAGTTGTTGAAAGCTAGCTCATATGTAATAGGCTTATAATATGAGAGGTGCGAAGTACATTCATGTTTGAGTGGGATTTTCGTACATTTTACGGCTGGCACCACTTACGCGTTAGTAACCATTTGAAAGAGCATATAATTTTATACAATATATGAAATTTTAAGAAAATCTTATAGAATAGCGCGCAAGATTTTTACAATTAAACTGACAGTTGTTGAAAGCGGTTATATAATAGGCAATTATAATATAAGAGGTGCGAAGTATACATTCATGTTTGAGTGGGATATTCGTTCATTTTTAGGCTTGCACCACTTACGCGTTAGTAAGCATTTGAAAGGGCATATAATTTTGTACAATATATGAAATTTTAAGAAAATCCTATCGAATAGCGCGCAAGATTTTTACAATTAAACAGACAGTTGTTGAAAGCTAGCTCATATGTAATAGGCTTATAATATAGGAGGTGCGAAGTCCAGTCATGTTTGAGTGGGATTTTCGTTTATTTTTAGGCTGGCACCACTTACATGTTAGTAACCATTTGAAAGAGCATATAATTTTATATTACATATGAATGTTTAATAAAATCGTATGGAATAGGGGGCGCAAAATCTACAAATTAAATGCAGGAAGGTCCTCGCAACTCATATACTGTGTAATTATTAACTATGGTATATCAGATGCACGTAATGCAGTCCAATTTGAGTGGGATTTTCGTTCATTTTAAGGCTTGCACCACATACTTGTAAGTAACCATGTAAAATAGCATATAATTTTGTATACAATAGAGTGGAAGTTATGGATGGTTTAAAGGGGCAATTTTTGACTGCGCACATATATCATTGACTTTGTGTATATCAGAATTAATTAGGATGAGACGGGCAAAATAGTCAAATTTTGAGACGGATTCTCGCTAGTTTATAGGCTTGCACCGCTTACCTTTAAGTAACGATTTGGAAGAGCATATACTTGCATACACTATATGAAATTTTAAGAAAATCCTATAGAATAGCGGGGTTGGAATTTAATTATTTAAAAACAATTCTTGACAGTTTTTTTTAGTACAGGCTGTATTTGGCACCTGTGGTTATTGTTAGTAAAATGTCTTTTTGGACTGCTTTGATGCGCGTTTATTGTTTTTTATGCAATAAAACATAAAGGTATTAATTAGTTAATACGAACTATATGATTTATTTCTTTCTAATTCATTTGGAAGAGAAGAAATGGCTATATTTTTCATTTTTACTTCTGAGTGATTGAAATGAGTGAGTTCACACAATATCGAATATCATGTTGAATGTCATGTTGAATCTCATGCGTAATAATTCACAGTGGTAATAAACACAGCATGCACGCAGCAATTAAGGTATATTGCAGAGTGCAGAAAGCAGAATAATGACGATATATTGGTATACTGAAACATTTGATGCTGTCCTTAAAATGTACTCCATAAACATGTACTTCCTTGAAATGCACAAAATCCTGTGAATTTAAAGTCATTATATCACGCTAACTCACTTATCATTCATGTAGTGCTACATACATGCACCAACAAAAAGACGCTCACATATCCTATGATTATAAGCACGAAGTATTACCGAAATCAGTAGAGTGTCTTTTCCGGAAGTTGAAAAGACAGTCGAAAGCCAGTAGAAACGTTCATGTTTTATGACGTCACGGTGAAGGAATGCAGCGTGGAACTTGTAAGTTATTTTACTTATTAGTAAACTTTATTTAGTTTGACAAATTGCCAATGGATCGCCAAACACAAAACAAGCTTTTGAGCAAAGGGAGAAGTTCTAGGGTGAGGCGGTAAAACCGATGTTTTTTGAAAACCGAATTACTCGATGTTACTTTTGGAGAAAGACCGGAAAACCGAAAAAAACGGAGGAAAACCGAAATCGAACCATACTTATACGGGTCTGTTGCAAATGAATCAACTTTGGCATTTACACACGAAAACTAAAGAGATTTTGTTTAAAATTTGATAACATCTTCAAAATACCTTACGTTTAATATCATTCTACAATTTCGCGCGAGCTTGAGGTCTTGAACGGATAAGCGGATCAAACGATGGTGAATTTTGATTCGCTGGTAATAAAGGCGGACGTCTGCGAAGACAGGTTTAAGATATTCATATAGCGTGTTGTGTCTTTTTTAAACCGTAGTTTCGATTTTCGAACATATTTTTAAAAAAAAACCCCGGTTCACTCGGTTTTTTCGGGGTTTTTTGGTCGGTTTTCGGTTTTTTGTAGAAACCGCCTCACACTAGGGAGAATCTTTATTCGTGGGAAGGCACTTAAGTAAAGTTACTAATAAGTGAAATAACTTACAAGTTCCACGCTGCATTCCTTCACCGTGACGTCATAAAACATGAACGTTTCTACTGGCTTTCGACTATCTTTTCAACTTCCGGAAAAGACACTCTACTGATTTCGGTAATATTTGGCTTCGTTAAAGTTCATTTTATAAGTAAGCCGATACCTTAATTTACATGTTATATATAATATATATTTGCTTGTAAATCTTTTATTCACCTAATTTCTTCCAAATATCGTGTGGTAGTTTATATAGTAGCTACATCTTTTTATATCAGCCTAATCAACAAGACTTTATCGACCAATTCCGTATTAGCTATATTTTGCGCAATCACAACATCGCTATTTAAAACGTCTTTATAGCATAAACAACTATATATATAAGGCTGTTCCTGACTGGAACGTTTAGAAATTCCGCGCCTGAGATTTTGAAAATTTAATAGTATTGTAAATATAGAAAGTGTTAAAATTGCACGGTCGATATCTCCGCCGCGCGATACAGACATTCCACACTGGACTGGCTGTTTTCCCCTATTTATTTTGGGAAATGCAAAAATAGCTTGGAATACCTTAATATACACAACCTTTCCTGGTGGTCTTCTATTTTATTTTATTTAAAGAAATCAGAAATAAATAATGATTATTGAATCGGCATAAGTAGTTGACCACCAGGACTACGCTAACCTTACGACGTCTTCTCACTTCTGATGTCGTCCGTTTTAGTAAAAGAATACATGATGTATCTTCGTCTTCCCAAGTAACGTATCTTACTTACAGTCGCACGCAGGTATACACTCTATCTATTTGCGCAATTTGAAATTTGCAAGCTAATATTTCACTTGACATTGATGTCAACTTGCATAAGAATAGCTTGATAATATTATACATGTTAATTTAATCTCTATTTAATTAAATCTAATCAAATTAATTTTAATCTATTTAATTGATTATTCTATTTATTTAATTTTAATCTATTTAATTTTAATCTATTTTAATCTATTTTAATCTATTTTAATTTTAATCTATTTAATTTAATCTCTATTTTTCCAACATAAAGGTGTATCTAGTGATGAAGCAACCTACACAGATATACTTGTAGCTAATTTCTCAGAAATTTTGTCCGATACCTCACAAAAAGTTCTAAATATTAAGAGGCAAAAGAAAAAGATCAAAAAAGGTAATACCAAAATGAGACAGGAATGGTATGACGGAAATTGTCACAATCTGAAAAAGAACTTGAGAAATTTAGGTAGTCTACTCTCGAAATTTCCCAACGACATTTACTTTCGTCATCTCTTTTTTGCAAAAAAGAAGGAATATAAACGTACAGTTAAAAAACAAAAAAGACAATTTCATAATTCTATACTAAATAAAATTGAATTATTATCAGAAAACAATCCTAAAGATTTCTGGAAACTCGTTAACTCCATAAAAGCTCAAAAACCTAGAACTTCACACGAAATTCTACCATCTGAATGGTTTGATTATTTCAAAAACTTGAACAAAATAAATATCAATACTGAAGTAGCAAGCAGTGAAGCACAAATCATAAAAGATTTTAATATCTGGGCATTAGGTACAAATGATACTCTTGACAGACCAGTATCACTGGAAGAAGTGTACAAATTATCAAAAAGATTAAAGAACAAGAAAGCCAGTGCCAATGACTCGTTGTCCAATGAGATCATTAAACTAGCAGTTGAGGTTATGCCATCCTACTTTGAAAAACTGTTTAATAAAATCTTGTCCAATGGACACTTCCCATCACTTTGGTCTAAAGGTTTTATAGTCCCCATTTATAAATCAGGAAGTAATATCGACCCGAATAATTATAGAGGAATATGCATAAGCAGTTGTTTGGGAAAATTTTTCACATTAATCATGAATGAACGACTAAATAAATATCTAGACGAAAACAACATTATGAGTAATTGCCAAATCGGATTTAGAAAAAATTATAGGACAGCCGACCATCTATTAGTTTTGAAAACTCTAATAGATTATTACAAATCAAAACGTAAACCAATCTTTGCTTGTTTTATTGACTTCAAAAAAGCTTACGATAGTGTATGGAGGGAAAGTCTTTTCTTCAAATTGATCTTGAATGGTTGCAGCAAAAGATTCATACGTTTAATGTTAAGCATGTATTCCTCCTATGACTGTTCGGTAAAATTGGAAGAGGGGTATACAACTTTCTTTAGGTCACATGTAGGGGTCAAACAGGGTTGTAACTTAAGTCCTACTTTATTCAACCTATTCATTAATGATCTACCTGATATATTTGACAGGTCATGCACTCCAGTAAAATTAAATGATACAAATCTAAGCTGTTTGCTTTACGCAGACGACCTAGTCTTATTATCCGAATCCAGGGCAGGGTTACAAAATTGCCTCACAAAACTTGTTTACTATACCAAAAAGTGGAAGTTAAACATTAATCTTAAAAAATCCAAAGTTCTAGTATTTGGAACACCAACCCAAAAACGTAGGCATTCTACATCAATCTGGACATTCGGCAAAAATATTTTGGAACAAGTTGATGAATATTGTTATCTGGGTATTACTCTTCACTTTTCTGGTACTTTCAAGCGAGCACAAAAGATAATCTACGGAAAAGCATTACATGCCTATCATAGTATATTTAAAAGTTTCTCAAATGTCGAAAATGTTCCAATAAAACTAATGTTAAAACTATTTTCTTCGATAGTTACCCCAATCTTATTATACGGTTGCGAAGTGTGGGGTCCGCATTTATTGGGCAGAATAAACTCTTTCGAAATGTTCAAGAAAAAAATTTTCCAAATCAATAGTGCAATTGAAAAACTTCATCTAAAATTCTGCAAAAGAGTCTTAGGAGTTCATTCAAAATCAACAAACATGGCTATTTATGCTGAGCTAGGAAGAACGCCTTTGATCGTTCAAATAGCTAAGCTGGTTGTAAAATATTGGTTTCGAATAAAAAGTTCATTGTTATCAAACACGCTTGTTGGAAAAGCAGCGAATGTATGCATGGAACTTAACCTAAAGTCAACAATTTTTATCAAATATGCACTGCAACTATGTGAGGGAGAAAATTGCGATTCACAAACTGAATTATCCAACTTACAGACGGAATTATCTGAAACAGAAAACGGAAATGTTTGCCATCACGTGAAACATAGATTTAAAGAAGCGTTTATATTGTATTGGGCAGAGCAGTTTCAACCTGTCGAAAATACTGGCAAGCTAAGAACTTTTAGAAAAATAAAAAAACACTTTGAATGTGAAAAATACTTAAACGAAATTAGTAATTTCAAATATCGTCAAGCTGTTACAAAGTTAAGAATATCAGCACATAAGCTAACTGTTGAAACTGGTAGATACAACAATGTCCCATACAATGATAGACTATGCAGACTTTGTGAGTTAAATGAAGTAGGAGATGAACATCACTTTTTAATGTCTTGTACAAACATGAAGTTCATCAACCTCAGGACAAAATTCATTGATAATTTATATAAAATAAATAGGTTTTTCAACTTATTTACTTCGGAAAACCTATTTATATATATTATGGCTATGAAGGATAAGTCAATAATGAAGTTAGTAGGCAAATATTGTTTCGACGTTTTGGCTGCTTTTGATAGCCTGGTCTAATTACTTACGTGTGCGTGTGTATGTATGTGTATTTATACATTTATCAACTTTTTTCATATATATTAATATCTATGTTATTGTTATAGACCGTAACGACTTATTTAGTTATTTACCCATGTATTCTATGTCCCAATATTGGGACTTTGTTTGAATAAATTATTATTATTATTATTTAATTATACTTTTGAGAGAGTTGAATTTCACGCAGCTGGCATGTTGTAAAACGCGGAGTGGAGTGGATTTGTAAAACGCGGAGTGGAGTGGATTTGTAAAACGCGGAGTCAAAAATTTGTAAAACGCGGAGTCAAAATTTGTAAAACGCGGAGTCAAAATTGGTAAAACGCGGAGTCAAAATTGGTAAAACGCGGAGTCAAAATTTGTAAAACGCGGAGTCAAAATGTCATTTGTAACTAATGTCATTCTATTATATTATACTATTTTATATAGTTGAATTCCAGCGATATAACCTGTCGTTTCTATTAATCACTCGACAGACTTACCAATTGCATTATATATCAGATCTCATCAACTATTTTTAATTGGTGCTATTTTACAAACATAACGAAACAAAACAGAACAAAAGAAAGAAAACTATCGTCTCTGGAACTATTACTAGAGTGCTATGTTTATAAAGTAAGTGCTGTACACAAGAAAGCGAAATATTTCTCGCGCGCACGATTTTTACTATGAAATCAGGTCAACTTAACAGTTACTGAAAGCGCCGCATATACAAAACTGACATACGTTTTCGATTTTCATAATAAATTGACAGTCTTTTTCATACAAATTTCATCATAAATTTTACATTACAAGCTTGCTTCCTTCATGAAATGATGATCGTCATCAAATGAGGTACAGTCAATATATTTTACTTGCGTGAAAGGGGGGTGGGGGAGGGGATTTTTTGAAATTTTGATAGTTTTGCACTCGGTATAGCACTCACTCTATTGCACTCAGCAGATTTATCATTAAGATGCCCATCGAATGTTTTAGTATTCTACACCGATAGGCTATATGAATATGAATATCTTGTCTCTCATTGAGTTTCACTAAGTATTATTATGCAACAGAATAACAGATGGTAATTGTCAATTTTCTTTTTATGTCAAACGTCTAAACTCGAGGTCGTTTGAATCTAATTGACTACAAGTTCTGTGCAAAACGTAGTCCTAATTTTGCATACATTAAATCGTAGTGTTCCTTATGAAGAAATGGAGCCAAATCGTTGGGTAAGTAGCACAATGCCGGTGTAAAGTCTGGGAGGGCTGCTCGTGCACAGTACGAGCTGACATGGAGATAGACTGATGAGATAGTTGGTGATATTTGTAGCTGCCCATCCTTAGGGTATTTCCTGTGCAACCTAGTTGTCAGAACTAGATCGTTTGGTGGAGGAGTTAAATAGTTAACCAAGCTCTTGTTAATCAAGCAAAGCATCTCTGCTGTGGAAGGTCTAGCCATCGCATCAAAATTAGCGCACCGATTGAATATATCTTCAAGTTGCCACCACGAGGTTATTCGCAGCTGCTCATATTTTGCACCATGTTGAGGTAGTCGATGTTTCGTCAGAAGATCTTTCAATGCCATATGGATATCGGGCGCACTAGATTGCTCTAATTCAGCTCGATAAGGACTACCAAGATCTGGATTTATCATGATATGCATAACAAGGCCCAAGGACCACATATCTGCACGTTTCAGATCTT